AACAGTCACAATGGTGTGGTGTCCCTTTAAGACACCCAAGTCGAGGGTTGATGGGGTCATCAGTTTGTGCCACTGCTCTGCTCTCTCTCTCTGTGATGGTGTGGACATGTGCTTGCACGCTAGTGCATGAGGAGGGACGGATTTTATGTTTTACCCCTCCAGACACCTTTGTTTGCAACGTTATGGGTTGTACGAACACTGTGCGCTATGTTTGCTAAGCTGCAGCCGTTCAACCGGGCTTATATGGTTGATGAAGAGAAGGTATATTAAAGAACACACTGTGGAATTCCCAATACCAGCGTGGGTGTGTATTCTTCCGCCTAGCCTGCTAGGTGTTTTGCCGCCTCTTCTCAACCACACAACACAACCCAACGTTACAACCTGCAGCGGAGTTTAGGTCCAGACACGGCTAGTGACGTCAGACTGAACAACCGGATACAGATAAATTTGTATTGTATTGATTCTTGTACTGTGACGTGACTGACGGAGGTTTGAAAAATCTGCTGCCACTTATTTGGGTTCAACTGCCACAAAGGCTCGACCATCAGTGTAACATAAAGACGTATCATTGAGCGTTTACTCATCTTTATTGGAGGTGTTGCAGCACAGAAACTGTTTATTTTTAACTATCTTTAAAAAAAACCCTTGTGGATGTTGTGTGAGAGCTCTGTGTCACAAAGTTCTCCGATTTAGTGGGCAAAAATATCCTTTTGTTGTTTTGTGTGTTTGACTTGCTGTTTGAATGAATTGTTGGCCCCGCCCCTCCCGGAGCCTGGTTCAGCCGGAGGTTTCTTCCTGTTCAAAGGAAGTTTTTCCTTCTCACTGTCGCCAAAGTGCTTGTTGGCTTTCTCTCTGTATTGTAGGGTCTACCTTACAATACAAAGCACATTGAGGCGACTGTTTTGTTATTTGACATATTGTAAAATTAAAATTGAATTGAATATTCCTTCAAGTGTAGTTTGTTTTCCTTTCTGGACTTTTATATGTTTGCACAGTGCAGAAAAGTAAACACAACACCCATAGACACTGAAATGTGCACTCAATCAAAAATAATCATATCCCCATAAGCAAGTTACAGCTCGACAATTGAAACAGGGACACATTTTCCAATAACAATGACTCATGAGTCTGCAAACTAATTCCACGAACTCGAGCCCGATACAGGAGGCGTGATATCGATGGGCAGAGCTGGATTGGAATGTGATGTGCAGAAATGTCGGGTGTGGCAGATGCATGTCTTGCCAGTGATGATAAAATGACTTATAAATCACTATTTGAGAGGGAATTACTACACTCCCCTCTGTGAACCTCTTCGTAGACGTAATTTACAGGGAATAATGACCGTCTACCATCTTCTCCTCCTGGGACTTTTTCATAATCAAGTTTAATGAAGAACACTTAGAAAGAAAAATTGACCCAGTGCACCGACGTGGGTTTAATTTCATTCATTCATTCATCATAGGGACAATGTATGACACATTACCTTCTCCCAAAATATTGGCGCTGAGTCGCAGATGAGCCCGGCTGTGAATACTGACTGAGACAGCTCAGAAAGTTGCTCCCTGGGCTGACAGAAAAGCCAGCTTTGGCTCTCAAACATTTCCTGACAAGGCAACAATCAGTAATCGAGGTGAAGACGTTTGGCTGGAGCTGGTGGATGTTGCTCGTCATTAGTCTTCCCTGTCATAGATTTAGAGCCTCAAAGTTTAGTCTTTCTCAGTTTTTACTTTTGTGCTTTGTGGTTATTGCCCAGCCTCTTTTTTCACGTGGTGATTATTAAAGACGTGGCTCTGTGTCCACATTCTACACTAAAACAAAACAAAGTGTCATCATTTATGTACAAAATTACATTTTGTAGCATTAAAAGCAGTTTCCTAGGAGTTGGGCCAGTTCTAGGTACAGTGTGGGCCGACGTGTGAGTCACTGACCAAAAACTAATCACAAGAGTCACGTCTGTCACTGCAGCGATACGGTGTTCTTCCCTTATCATAGCCTGAAGTCCTTGGGGAAGATTTATCATTCATGAGGAAGCTCTACAATAAAAATGACCAAAAAAAGTCAAACTGGTTTGTTTCTTTTTCAGATCCACAAATAAGAATCTGCCAGGCAGCAAAAATCTTGCTACCTTAATTTAAATGATTTATGCCACCCAAAGAAGCGAATCCTTCTCGACTCTCCTTTATCCAAAGCTCTCATAAAAAGTCCTCTGATGCACACCTCCCATCTGCAGCCTCCCCCTGAAAAATAGCTCTCTGTCCCTTAAAGGCCTTTTTCCTCATTATAACGGGCATGTCTAGCTTGAAATGCTGCCTTTCTAATGGCTTTTAAATGTGTTTGGAGATCTCTCGAGTGACTGTTATTTTTGTAGAAGAAGATAATGGTCACAGAGAAACTCTTTAAGAAGTCTCAATCTCAGGTCTCCACTTTTTGAAATGCTGTCTGTGTGAAATCAGTAAATACCTTACAGTGAACAGTCTCATCTGGAAGTTTCAAATCCAGCTGAACACGATGTCATGTTCATTTAGTCAATTATGACCTCTGTGTTTTATTCACAATCTGTGGCTTTAGTCCGTGTGTTTCTTTCTTCTTCAGTAAATGTTATGAGCAGTGTTTCCTGATAACAAAATCTCCGTAGCTTACAACATCTGCAACTAGACATTCAGTTTGTCCACAGGATTATATTCTTAAATGCTTCCACTTAAAAATAATAAATAGTTTTTATTCCAGTTACCTCAGATGAGCACACAGGCTGACTCACAGGATTATTATGATTATAATTCAACTTTTACATTACAATAAATGCTGTTCTGAACACCTTAATTATAAAACAGTTTAGTCCCGTTTAAAATAGCCTGATCACTGGCAAATATTTTGATTGAGTTTTTATTGACATGACAATCTTCCCGAGTAATATCAGTGCTGGATTTTCATCTCGGGCAGCATCAGGACCTGCTGACTGTCAGGTTTCTGGTCTTCAGGTGGAACAGTCAGGACGCTGAGTGACTGCAGAGGAACGTAGAAAATGTGACCTGCTGCTGAAAGCTAAAAATAAACAAAAGATTTTGCACATTTATTATGACAGACAATGGCATCAGCTCTTCAGCCACAAATGTTTCATCAGGACTCTCTGCAGCCTACGTAAAGGGGAAATTGTTTGCTAAAAACAGCAGTTAGTGTTCGACTTCTTGGAGCCTAAGAGAAAGTCAGCTTACTTAGGAAGATCTCTCCAGGAACAATTTAAATAGAATAAATAAAGACTTGGATTTAACTGAATTTAAAGTCAAACTGTGAAATAATCAGGGACGATGATGTGATGTGGTCACCGTGATTAATGCAGAGTTATTGCTTCAGTCAGACAACAGTTGGGATCACTTCTCTTCTACTCCAGCTCTCTCATGATCTTTCTCCAAATACCTGCATTCATTATTTCAGCTGTTTCATGCTTGTGTCCTATTTGTTTTCATTCTTTCTCCCCAAAGTCTTCCTCAGTGATCTTTTTACATCTGTTATATTCATCCTTTCTTTTCTCTTTCCTTCTTCCCACAGTGGGGCTAAGTGAAAGAAACAAGGAACATTCTCAGAAGCTTAATGCTCTTTAGTGGAAGCCATCTATCAAACTGGCAGACTGTCAGGCTAACACAGCACAAACACACTCCCACTCAGACTCTTTCATTTATGTTGTTTTCCTGTGTTAGCCAAAGACGCTCGAGATTTACCTTAAAGACACTTTTTATTCACAGCATATGAAACAGTGAGTGAGAGTCCTGAGTAAAGGAACATGTTTGAGTGTCTGTTTAAAGTGTTTTTAAAGCTCTCTTGATATCATATTTTGACACTGAGCAGAGGCCAGGGAGCAAAAGAGCTCCTTCTACAGTAAGTGGTTCACAGGAGAGACACTCTGTGGAAGAAGAGGCTGTTAGGGTTGCAGCTGCCGTGTCAAGTTTTGGACCTAATTACAAACAAACTTTAATTTCTATTGCATGTTAGTGTTATTTTAGCAGCAGAAGTGCCAGAAATCATGTGCCCCAAAAAGGACATGTGGTGCTGTTTGTTGGGTAGCAGCAGGCTGAAAGGTTTTTCTTTGTTTCAATTAATATTAGAATTGAAAATGAATAAATCTGAATCTCTTTGGAGATTCGGTTTGACAGAAGCAAGGACAGAATAGCTGCTAATATTAGCTTAATGTCTGAGTGGTTTTTGTCATTCAGGGCAGAAGCAGTCTGAAGAAAATGTGGAAATGCTGCCTCTGGTGGCTTTTGAAAGTTGTTACAATGAAGATACAGATTTGGATAAAACGACCTGGGCCAGGGAAGTCTGCCGTTGGCTGAAAAACCTTGCTTAGCTAGAGCGTCAACAAGACGTGAACGGGAACGAGCCTCCACCTTAAAATATTTGAATCCTCCTGAGTGTTCATAGGGTGACCAACCGTCCTCTTTTCCTCGGGCGCGTCCATTTTCACGTTCTGTCCGGGTTTTCCTACAGAGCATGTGTGACATCATCCCCGAGCTGCTGCTTTGTGAGTGGTTGTTCTGCGCTCACAGACGGGACAGACAGCGCGCTGATGATGTTTAAAAGATGTCAAAGCACAACTGCAGCTTTTCAGACGAACTGTCAAAGACATTTCCCTCGTACCATCCTGGTACTTGTTCTTTTACAGATGAGGCCTTATTTCGGTACCATTATTTAATCCCAGAGGTTTTTAAGTTATCTTTTTGCACTGTTGCATATGACATTTTTTATTTCACCATTCATTAACCGCACAGAGAAGGCATCATTTAAATATGTTAAAAGTTTCTTTAAGCAAACAGCATGATTAAAGTTTTTCTGGGCCAAGTGTTTTTTGGAAATCCAAATATGGTCACCGTAGCTTTCATTTAGGATAAATGCGATTAACCTGAGCTACCTGTTTCATTCATTCATTTGATCATATGTTGAGTTGGTGTTGCTGTGTTAGTGAAAAGTAAATAACTGAGCAGAAACCTTTGTCCTTTCACCCACAGGTCGCAAGTTTATCATAGCCAACGCCAGAGTGGAGAACTGCGCCATCATTTTCTGTAACGATGGCTTCTGCCACATGTGTGGCTACTCCAGGGCTGAGATCATGCAGAAGCCATGCGCGTGCAACTTCCTGTATGGACCTGACACCAAGCGACTGGCTATCGCCCAGATGGCGCAGGCCCTCCTGGGGTCGGAGGAGAGGAAGGTGGAGATCAACCTTTACCGAAAAGACGGTAGGAAAAACCAAACGATGCTGTGCTCGTCATTTCAGAGCTGTTTCTGCTCATGTGTGCACCTGTTTCTGGCCTGAGAGAGATGAAACTGCATTTAAGGGAATACAAGCAGATCATTTCTAATAGTGGCAGAAGAGTAAAGCTTGGTGTCAACTTTGTGTTGGGGACAGAAGGTGTGGTGTGCCAGAGAGGTTAGCATGCTAGCTGCTTTAATTGAGATGGCAGTAGCAGTAATACATGTTTGTTAGGTATATGTAGAAACATGTGGTATATTCATTGCTATCGTACTACACTGAACAAAAATATAAACACAACACCTTTGTTACTGCTCCCATTCCCCATGGGATGGACGTAGAGACCTAAAATTCATTCCAGATACACAATATAACCATCCCTCCCAAACAGTGGTCACAAATCAGTCCAAATGTGTGGTAGTGGGCACATCTGCCATATTGAGATAATCCATCCCACCTCACAGGTGTGCCACATCAGGATGCTGATCTGACATCATGAGTAGTGCACAGGTGTACCTCAGACTGCCCACAACAAAAGGCCACCCTGGAATGTGCAGTTTTGTCTCACAGCAAAATGCCACAGATGCCACAAGCAATGAGGGAGCGTGCAATTGGCATGCTGACAGCAGGAATGTCAACCAGATCTGTCGCCCGTGCATTGAATGTTCATTTCTCAACCATAAGCCGTCTCCACAGGCGTTTCAGAGAATATGGCAGCACATCCAACCGGCCTCACCACCGCAGACCTCGTGTAACCACACCAGCCCAGGACCTCCACATCCAGCAGGTTCACCTCCAAGATCGTCTGAGACCAGCCACCCAGACAGCTGCTGGAACAATTGGTTTGCACAACCAAACAATTTCTGCACAAACTGTCAGAAACCGTCTCAGGGACGCTCAACTGCATGCCCGTCGTCCTCATCGGAGTCTTGACCTGACTCCAGCTCGTCGCCGTAACAGACTTGTGTGGGCAAATGCTCACATTCGATGGCGTCTGGCACGTTGGAGAGGTGTGCGCTTCACGGATGAATCATGGTTCACATTGTTCAGGGCAGATGGCAGCTGAGAATGTCCCAGTTCTTGCATGGCCAGCATACTCACCGGACATGTCACCCATTGAGCATGTTCGGGATGTGCTTGACCGCCGTATACGACAGCGTGTACCAGTTCCCACGAATATCCAACAACCTCGCACAGCCATTGAAGTGGAGTGGACCAACATTCCACAGGCCACAATTGACAATCTGATAGACTCCATGCGACGATGTGTTGCACTGCATGAGGCAAATGGTGGTCACACCAGATACTGACCGGTTCTGGGTCCCCAGACCCCCAATAGCGCAAAAAACTGCACATTCCAGGGTGGCCTTTTGTTGTGGGCAGTCTGAGGTACACCTGTGCACTACTCATGATGTCAGATCAGCATCCTGATGTGGCACACCTGTGAGGTGGGATGGATTATCTCAATATAGCAGATGTGCCCACTACCACACATTTGGACTGATTTGTGACCACTGTTTGGGAGGGATGGTTATATTGTGTATCTGGAATGAATTTTAGGTCTCTACGTCCATCCCATGGGGAATGGGAGCAGTAACAAAGGTGTTGCGTTTATATTTTTGTTGAGTGTATATTCCAGAATAAGAGAAGAGTCATTTTAGATTAATTTTTCAGAAGTCCATAAAATGAATCAGACGTGCAGATTATCCAGAATGAGATCTCCATATAGGATTGGTCAGGGCTCAGGTAACAACATCTGCCTCTGCTGCCACTGTTGGCTGAAGACAAAGGAACAGGAAAGGGGGAAGGTGTGTCTGGAGACAGTGGGAAAACTGGTAAAGGGAGAGGATCTGATTTGATGGAGAGAAGGAAGGTATATGTGTGTGCAAGGTCCTTCACTAGGCTGAAAGGAAGTAAGCTCGAGAGCATCAAAACACTCCACCATGGTGCAGATAGGAAGAGAGACGAGTAATGTTGGAGGAAGAGTATCTGAACAGTCTTGAGGTGAAGAGAGACGTGATTGTGAGGCTGAAGCTGGAAATTGAAGGTGTGATGTTAAATGCTGTCAGTGTGTATGCCCGACAAGTTGGATGTCATTTAGACGATGAGGTAAAGATGGTGTTAAAGAGACAAATGCAGAAGGACAGATAGTGTGTGTCTTATAGAAATGGCTGTGGTGAACACAGAAGAAGAAGAGGGAGGAACACAGGCTGACAAATGATACTGGAAGATGGTGCACACATTTAGATTATATCTTGTGCAGAAGGTGCAGTTTGAAAGAGATAGGAGGTTGCAATGTGATGTCAGGGTGTAGTTAGGCAGCATCAGGTAGTAGGTTGTAGAATGAGTTTGCAAATCAAGAAGATGAAGCGTGTGAAGGCAACGACGAGGATTAAATGGTGGAAGTTGAAGAAGGAAGAGTTGTGCTCAGTGTTTCGGGGAGGCAAGTCTGGGTACATAACAATAGAAGTCTTTCAGGTTGGTGCAGCACATGTGTGAGTGCAGAGTACATTAGATCGTCTTTGATAGACGTGCTGACAGAAGAAGCCAGGCAGGATTCTCTGTAAACCATGATGTCTGCAGATCTGTAGCGAGAGCAGGTGGAAGCCTGCAGAGGCGGAGGTATGCTCTGGAGAGAGGACGGATGGAATTCAGCAAAACAGAATCCGAGTGTGAATGAGAGGGAGACAGGTGTAGCTGTGAGGATGCAAGGAGGGGTGCAGCTTAAATATTTGGGGTCAATCACCCAAAGCAATGATGTGTGCACAACAGAGATAAAGACAAGTGCAGGCAGGGTGGAGTGGGTGGAGACTTGTGACAGAAGGATAGCAGCAAGCGTGACTCAGGTTCAGCTTTGGCTGCTTTTGAGTGGCGTGCACATCCACAGACGTCTTTCTGCTGTAGGCCAGCACCGTGTCCTTCCTCTGTATCTTATTTATTTTTTATTTTAACTTGAATTAAGGTTGAAGTAGAGCCCTTGAAAATGAATACATATTGATTTGATTAAGTTAACTGTAATCATAGTTCTCATCATCAGTCCAACAGCAGGCCAGTTTCAGCCGATTCCTTCAGTCAGCCTCGAGCGACTGTCAAAGCTTCTCACTTTGTTTCTGTGTTGTGTAGGGAACATTTGGCACATGATAGCTCATGTTTTTGTCTAAGTTTGTGTGAATAGTTTGACTGCTGTTTAGTCCATGTTTTCATTTGTGTCTTTAGCAACAAACTTAGTGCCAGATTTTTTCCTTTTTTCCTTTTGAGCAGCACAAACGTTTGGGACGGAGAGTATGGTGCGTGTGGTCTGTTTCCAGATGGCATTTAATATAAATGTGGTTGATTATTACTGAGTGAGACAACAATTAAATAGCCATCTGTTCTTTTTCATGCTACAACTGTTTTAATGAAATAGCAGTGTGATTAAAAGAGCTCACCTGAACGCACATTAGAGGAAGATAAACATGTCAAACCCTTGGAGAAGTCCGTCCTACCACACGAATGTATTTCTGATGATCGTGATAAAGAGACACGTGGTAATAAAGAAAGCAACTCCCTGGGCTACGGCCAGAGCATCTGCTGGATGTTTTCCACCTGTAGACGGACAACAGAGCAGCAGAAGAGAGGGGGCTTAGGTGGAGGAAAAGAAGGCCGAAGGGAAAAGTGGTGACTAAGAAACAGGAAGACGCCACAGCTCTGAGAAGCTCGGAACAACCATTGGGTGAGAGGTGGGAGAAACAAAGTGGGAGCATGAGACAGAGAGAGAAGCAGCGTGTCATGGTCTGGGTAGTTTTCCACGGCATCGGCTCCTCCCCGCTGGGTGGAGTCTTTGTTGTTCCTCACCTGATGGCAATCATACCTGCGCACTCAACTGGTCTTCGCCAGATTATCTGCCAACTTTACATCTGAAACCCACCTACCACCTACCTACCTTTTTGAACTGCCAGTCTCTCCTGCCTGCCTCCCTGCATTGCATGCAGCACCCACCTGGACCTCTCCTGCCTTCCTCCTCCAAGCAACCCCCACCTGCAAGCTTTGCCCAGTCCCTGCACCCAGTTATCCCTGCCATCTAGTCATAGTCATAGTTTTTCTCTCGCCTCAGACGTCTAGTTTATGTTCCTTAATTCTAGTCTGAGATTTCTGTTAGCTTCTGAGCATTGTGAAGAAAGACTCTTTTTGTTACACTGCACCTCTAGCCTCCGGGTTTGAAACTACACTTGAGTCCATCCCATTTCCACTGTGCAATGACACAGCGACCGTTATGTGAAAGTGAGAAGGAAAGGAGAGAAGAGGTGGAGCCTGCTGTGTGCTCTGTAGTGATGTTTATGAGGAGCTCTCTGCCAGCTCCGCTCCTCACAGATCTCTCTTTCCACTGTTTACACCAGTCGCACACAAAGAACCCAGTGAAAGCTACAATATGTCCACCATGCTAACAACACATAGCATTTAGCTTTTCTGACTTTAATGCCTGCATAGCTTTGGCCGCTGCTGGCACAGTGCAATATCCTCAGTATACCCTTTTACTGCAGACAGAAGAAAAATGATCATATTAACTAAAATGGAATAGCACTGTAATTAAGAAGTGACTCACGTAATGACCATGCTCAAAGCACTGACTAATCATATATCCACAAAGTATCATACTTGGAGGTAACGAGAGGTCACCGAGGTGTCGCTGGCACAGAGGGACAGTGGACAGCCTCACACCATATCGAATATTACAAGTAGGTTTTCGTATGATTCAAGTGCAACTATCATTTTTCATGCAGGGATGAGTCCTGCTCTACTCACAGTTGATTTCTGCCCAGGTCTTGAAGATTATCGTACATTGTAAGCAGGTAATTAACCATGTATGGTGTTTCCTCCAGCTTATGTTTAAATAGTTTCACAGTCACAGCAGCTTCCCTGCAGCAGCCTGGGCCTCATTCACTAATATTTGAGTGGAAATGTTCTTAGCCTGTGCAAACCTGCATCTCATTTATGAAACCTGAAGCC